TCGAGATTCGTGTACCTGAAAGTGAGAGAAACTGAAGATTGTTGAAAAAAATACCTTTTTTCGAAGCATTGTCCTCGGCATTGTCCCTATGATCTGCGCATTATCCAGCGGTCTTGTACCGTCTTTCGTAGGTGATCTCGATCGTCAACGTCTTCAGCGTGCAGGGGTTCTTCGTCTGGCTCATGGTCGTGTCGCTCAAGACGTCCTCCTTTGACTTTCTCGCCGACCGAGAGCCTGGAAGAGGGATTGTTAGTTGCTGGGACGGGTAGCGGTTTACTTTACCCCCCTCCCTCCCAGCAGGAAAGTCCCAAAAATTTTTTTACGGCCAACAATCGTTAGCCCTAGGTCGCAGCTACCATCCCCTGGCCGGGAATTGCGAAAATATCATAATTAAAATTTCTACAATAAAAATGGTGTTTGAGCGGCTATTTGGATTTCGCTTGTTTTTGCCATAACTATCTCATTTTACATTATTTTGGGTTGTAATTGAAACTTTAAGTGTATTTTTTTGACGCTCTACCCAGTAGGGTCAAAAAATATCGGAAAAATGCCGAAAAAATTGGGACCCTCGGGCTGGGGGTGGGCGGGGGGGGGTAAAGTAAATTTAGCCCTGGGAAGTACACTCACGCATCAGGAGTGCATTCCTCACACATTTGTCGCATGTAGCAATGCGTCGCTTTATGGGGAATGTCGATCATCTCGCCATTCAGGTACTTGACGACCCCTGTTTCAAAGTCGAGGACGCTTATGCTGAAAATTGTGCTGTATTTTGTGAAAATGCGGAAATTGCGTGCAGCGTTGAGATTTGTAACAAGTTGCAGGCTTGTTAGGTGCCATAGCAAAGAAAATTAAAATTCTCAAAATCACAAAATTTTCAAAAAGTTTTTTATAACTTTCTAGGAATCAGAAATACTAAAAACACTATAACAATATAATTTTTTATTATTAATTTTTTTATTATTAAATAGGTAGAAAAATCGTTGTCCTCCTGCTAATTACCCCCCCGGCAAACTGCTCAGAACCGAGTTGTTTAAAGGCTTAAACTTAGGCTTAAATTTAGGTTTAGACATAGGAAAGTTAAAACATGAGATAAAAAAATCGACATAAATCAAATTCGCCGATTATTATTTTTTACGGGTTATGGTGGCCGATGGGAGTCTTTTACTAGTAGTGATGGACATTTTCGTTATTATTTTACGGGTCCTATTGACTTACCTCAAATTTGCATTGCTTGACTGGAACATACGCCGTATTATTGCGATGACTCAACATTATATGGGGCTGAATGTCCTTCCAGACGTAGCGGTCATGGACAAGCGCACCCAGATCCATTGGCTGAAACCTCGTAGTTATATTTGGGGGGCCAAGACGTTACCTGCACCAATTTTCCAGCAAATTACACCTTCCTATTTCGGTATATCTCCAGAGTAATAGCGCCATTCTGACAGGCCACTGCTCTGGCCCGCCAGGATAAGACAGGATAGACCCAAACGCCGCTGCTCGCTATTGTCATTTCGGAACCCCTGTAGCACAAAAAAATGGCTGGCAAATTTGTTTGGGCTTACCTCAGGTAGCAACCAGCCATCTTCCAGGTAGTTCATCGGCCGATTCCGGATGGCATGCTCAACCGCAAACATCTTTTTCTCCGCATCCTCCTTTCTCCATCTTTGAGTGGTTTTCGTCAACCCTGGGTTCTGAAAATTTCAAATCCTCGAACGTCGAATAACAGCAATGATCGACAAATTAGAAAACTCACCGCTCCTTGACGAACAAGTTGATGAGCGTGCCAGTCCATTTTGCCGATATTGTAATCGCTTTTTTTAAAGCTGTCCTCGAGCATTGCCAGCTTGTCTGTCGCCTCTCGACGATAAAATGTGACAGCATGGGGGGCGCGAGCTCAATCTAAAGTTCTTTTCTTCTTCCGAGGTCTTTAAAATAAAAAGTTTCCAAGCTAAAAGCAATAAAGTTATATTTACCCGCGGTTCATCGAAACGGTCAGGGGCGGGGGCGTTGTTGGGGGCGAGGGAGGGTGAGCTTGAGGACGAGGAAGAGGAGGTGGATGCGGCACTGGAGACGGGCTAAAATTTAGTTTTTTTTAAAACTAGAAAAGTTCTATTTACCCTCACTTGATCGATACGGTCAGCGTCGGGGGCATCGTCGTCGTCGCAGGATGCGTAAGAGGAGATGGATGCGGCACTCTCCCTCTAAAATATGAGCCTAAATGTTTCAAAAGGAATCCGAAGGAAAGGAACGAATTTTCCACCCCGATACTTATCTTTTCGAAATTTTCAAAATCTTAAAAACCTCACAGGCGCAGAATGCCAATACATTATTCACGATCCATTATGTTTTATAAAGTCTTATAAACCTATCATAATTTCGAAGGTGCTAAGGTCACTACAATAAAGCTGTTCAGCATACCTTTAATTCTTCCAAAATCCGCGGCACAAATTATATGACCTGTTTAGGGTACATATCTTCCATTAAATCAGGTAAGGCATTGGAGAAATTGCCACAAGTTCGCGCACGCTAAAAAATTCGAATTATCAAAAATAATCGCTGAAATAAATAAAAAGGAACGATCGACTAAGACAAGAAATGGAGAGAGAGAGAGAGAGAGAGAGAGAGAGAGAGAGAGAGAGAGAGAGCGAGAGAGAGAGGGGGGAGGGATGAGAAATGGCGAGAAAGAAGGGGGAAAAGAGACGAGGTGAGAGAATTAAACTTTAACTTCCAATTACAAATGAAATACATACTATATTTTAATATACGACATACAAATTCGAAATTTCTGATAGAAATTGGCAAAATCAATTATGCAAACTTTGCCGACTTAGTAGAATCGTAAATGCGAATCACAACATGGCTATGAAAAACGGGAATTATACTCGGTTAAAGCGAGATTAAAACGAAATTATTTACTTAAGGAAAATATAACCAGGTAAATAAGATGAGCTAACCATAAGCCTAAATAAGCAAAAAGCAAAATGTGGACGAAAAACTGAATGACTTTGAACCTCAAGCTGCTGCTTATCTAGTGGTTAGCAGATGTATCGACGCCCCTGGCAGAAGTGGTCGCTGACCCGGGGGCACTTTTATCAGGTCATTAGTGCGCGATTTCCGCCGTATGCGCATTAATGACCACTATCAAGCTATGATTACCGACTGTCCGACCTCAATTACACACTAATATTTTGATAAGAGCTCCCGCGGATACGTTCTCCAGTTCTGCCAATGGTGTGCGTACATCTGGCAGCCATTACTTAAGCACCGACTTCAGGCTCAAAGTCATTCAGTTTTCTTCGACAGCTTTATTTGTATAGTATTACCTGCTTACTTTTCTCAGGCCTATATCTTCTTGGCTTACTGATGTTTCCATAGTCTGCTCGTTCCCGTCTACCATTAGTTTTATCTTTAAAAATTCTAATAAAGTTTTCCCCCGCATTTGATTATCGCGCTATTTATAAATAATCCTGATCCTGTTGTAATTTGCCCTAAAAAGCTTAAAAGTCAGATTATGCGTTCGTTCCCTATTTTTTCGCATGCGTTTTCTCTTGCACGCGCGCTTTGTCTTTCTCTCTATCTCTCTATCTCTCTCTCTCTCTCTCTCTCTCTCTCTCTCTCTCTCTCCCTCCCTCTCTCACTCACTCTCTCGCTGTCTCTCTCGCACCCTCTGTTTCCTTATCGTATTTGATTATGCTTCTCAATTAATTTCCAGCCACTTGTTTAATTTAGATTCTTTCCAGTATTTGTATTTTTCAGCTTGCTTGGACTTGTGGCAATTTCTCCAATGCCTTACCGGATTTAATGGAAGATATGTACCCACCCGGGTCATATAATTTGTGCCGAGGATTTGAGAAGATTTAAAGGTAAGCGTAAGTACGTCATTACACTTGCAAAATCACTAATATGTATGTCAATAACAAATGCAGTTATGGTTCTTTTAATAATTTTCGGAATTTTAAGTCTAAAAGCAATTTCTGGCAGTGCTTGCGCCTTCCCTTGAAAATTGGGCCCATAAGACGAGAAAAAATATATACGATATTTCAGGGTTTTTTCGAGGGAGATGTATGTGCTGAAGAAGATGTATGGCATAGACTCATTCTCCATTCATCAATTTCGCGGCAGAAAGATGGGATGTCCAGGTATCTATGGTTGATTTTAACAACGAGATCTGGGGGTGGGCTCTCAAAGTTTTTAACATAATGATATTTTTAAATATGGTTTTTCGCGCAATAAAAAAAGCTCTTAATATATTTTTCGGCCATCTATCGAAAGGCATTTTCAAAATATGCCCCCCCCCCCCCGTTATCCTATGTCTTTCCCGAGTTTTCAAAAACAGTTTTTAGGCTATAAAACCTTTAATGATACATTTTCGCTTTGCTAAAAAATCTCTGAGTATATTTTGTGACGTTCTATCGATTGGCGTTTTCAAAATATTGACAATCTCAAAATTTTGGTTCCCATAGATTTTGATTTATTTTTGTTTATTCACTAAAAATTCCATTACCTTCATTCGGGCTGAAATTAATTTTCTTGGTATATTTTTCGACGCTCTATCGAATGGCCCAAAAGCTCCTCTCCCAAAAATCCACGATTATTTTTAGGCAATTGATCCAGAAGTCATCACGTTGTCTGTTGACGACGAAGTGATGCAAGCTTCGCCGGAATTCTGAATAGTCTGAAACGTTCTATACAGTCGCCATACAAACGACAGCAGGCACGCTTTGGAAAGCAACGCGAGCAACTTGGACCCAATTTGACCCACTAGGTAAACGCTTTAACTGTTCACAACAACGGCACCCGTAAACATCTAAATTTTCGTTTACAGAATTTTTTGGCAAGCGTCACTCCGCGGTATTTGCCATCTCGAAACTACTTCAGCCACCTAAAGGTAAACAACGTTACGACTCTCGCCAACCGGACCCCTAGGTGCGCTTGTCAAAAAGGAAATCGCCGCCATCCAGAATCTCTATGGTCACTGAATCAATGCGGATCTTGACATGCTCCAATATGAGCAACAGCTTTGGCAGCAACTGTATCAACGGCGCCCCGCCCCGACTTCGCTGCGTCAGCTATTTGCCGGCGATACGCTGGTAAGGAAAACCCATGATTCAACACTTTATCATTCCGATTCAGGATTCATATCCAACTAATCGGAAGCTTCTTGTGCATTCGGAGCCTAAATCTTATGCTCTTTTTACAGATAAGACATGCCCCGATCGCTCAACAACGGAACCGATCTTCCCTCTAAAAGTAAGACTCACTCTCTCTCCCTTGCTCTCTTTCTCTTAATTTCTTTATATCTTGCTTAACTCACCTTATTTATTAATTTTTCAGATAAGAAATGGGACGTGACTCCAAGGTGGGACGGCTTCAAGACAATACGAAACGCCGAGACCTGTTCAAGCGGCTAAAAAGCATCCTGGGAAACATCGTGGCCGCCAATGCAAATCAAATGCTGCCACCAGAAACACTTGTAGGTCTTTGGTCCAAAGGGCGATCGTGAAATGTTATGGCAAAATTCAACTAGTAATAGGTTGTAAAGCAAATAATGTCATCTCCGAGCTTTGAAACCGCAATTTTATTTTTTTTTTTGCTCACATTAATTTTCATCTATTTTGAAAGCCGACTTGGCAGCTCCGCTCCAAGCACAGCTATAATATTATGAAATTTTGCGAGCGGGTTTAAAATAGATTAGCATCGCGTGAAAAATTTATCAAATAACGCAATTCGATGATATATTCGGTATCACAGACAAAATTTGCAGCACAACGCGTTCCATACGCTGATGCTACAGCACCTCGATGGCGATTTGCCCAATGATGGTGTCAGCCGGGAAGTCAAGGACCAAGCGTACGCTGCAGGCCTAGAGAAGCTAGAAGAGTGGCGCCAGGTATGTGCGGGTGGGAGGGAATGTGTTCAAACAAATCCACTTTTCTGATACATTTTGTTTGCTAGGGCCTTAAATTTTGCTGTGGTTTAATAAAAAAAAAACACTTTGTCTTCTGTAGCCAGATCTCTCTACCGAGGGCGAAAGATAAGTTAAGTAGCTCTCGAGAAACTACCGTGAAGAGTCATGAAATCTAATTATAGATGATGCAAGAGTTCTTGGTTGGCTGGGGACCAAACAAATCGCAACCAAATGAACTGAATGACCCGGAGCGGGAGATCTTCTCAGGAATACTAGAATATTTCCTGATGAGAGTAAAAGACAGGAAGAGTACAAGCTGGACCCTTGCGAGCGCGGTGGGTTAACATTTCTCATCTCTCTCTCTCTCTCTCTCTCTCTCTCTCTCTTTCTCTCTCTCTCTCAGCTATTTTAATATTGCTCAAAAATTCTTATTTAGCCAGATCGCTTCGTCACCGGAGTATTAGAAAGCCTACCCGATGGGGCGCTTTTCAAGCACGAGTATCCCGGGATCGTCAAGACTAGTGTTGAAACCCTTGGCAAAATTACTGCAAAGAAGGAAAAATACTGTAGGTTAAATCTTCGGTGGTTGGCAATTTTTTTCAATTGCATGATAAGATTCAATTTTGTCTAATTTTAGACTAGCCTTTACCCATATTGAGCTATCGAAAATCATTATTTCAAACCATTAAATTTGAATATTAAAACAATGGATTAAGCTAAAACGTTAAGTCAATTCAGCTCCGACTCTGCCTGTCGAGGACCTGGACCTAACACCGGAATACGATCCGGATAGCTCCTTCAGCCCAGTCCCTTCCCAACAAACAATGACGCCACCGGTAGACTTTACAGGTAATTTTCAGCGGTTCTTGTGTATTCGGGGGGGGAACCAACTTGTTTTTGTCGGGCCTGGTGGGGATAGTAATCAAATATAAAGTGTTTTCACATTGTTTAAAATTTAAGCCTATTTGAATCGGAAAAACTTTTAAAAAGTTAGAAAAACGTTTGAAAGAGTCGAAAATTTGCTCATTTTTGGGCGGAAAAAATCCATTTTTCGACCTAAAATTACATTTTTTTATTAAATTTTGTAAAGTTTTATGTTTAAGAATAGCTATAAACAATTTAGAACCACTTCCACTATTTATATAAAAAAATCTAGGCTTGGGAGGAAAACACATAGACATAACTTTTTTATATAGAGTAGGATCCTCATTATTTCAGATGATGGAGGGCTCGATATGGATGATTAGTGGACCAAGACCGTCATGTCTGTGTGACATACAAACTCAAGCTACAACCCACCGAATAAATTCTGAACCTAGTGAATATCTACAGGGTGTCCCAAAAAAAAATCGACCCCCCTCTAGCGGGCCGCAGTCATGTCCGATTTTGACGATTTAGATATCTATCGAAAGCACTCGAAAAGGCGAGAAAACAAGCACTTTTCGTTTTTCAATATGGGAATTTTAATTCATTAAATGTAGGGCCAAAATCGATGAAAACTGCAGATTTTATGCAAAATCGGCATGTTAATTGCTTGCTAAAGCAAACAGGACGATGCTGGTTTTACGCTTTTTACAGAAATCATTGAATATCGAGCGAAGGCTAAAATTTTTTGGAAAACCAAAGGCGCTTGTTTTCTCACCGTTTGAAGGGCTTTCGAATGGTGTGAAAATCATTCCGATCCGAGCTTTCTGCGGTCCGCTAGAGGGGGGTCGATTTTTTTTGGGACACCCTGTATGTAGATATTTGCTGAGGTTTTTTGGAATAAATTCATTATTTATCAACAAATGGTGCTATATACTTCAAATTTAGAACATTTCAAACTTTCAAACTCTTGCAGCACGGAAGACTGTTTGGGATATTTTTAGGCGGGGCGATGCTGCGGCGTCCGAGTCGTAGACGCGAGGCGGGATTTTGAGACACGGCGTCTTGGTGTAAAGGGTTTCCTGAAAAGCAAGATACATTTCGTTAAGTTGCGCTTCTTAAATGCTTTTCTTGCTAGAATCTGGAAGAATCTTGCAAATCGAAGCCTTTCACAGGTCATGGACGGGCTAGTTCTGAAAAGCCGCGAAGGGGATTCTCAACCTTGATTGTTTTTTTAAACGCACTGATAAGAAAAGAACTTACTCTCTCCGGCGTTCATTGGCTACTTGCTTTTCCAATTCAACTTGACCGGACCCATTAGGTTGATGATGATCACTTCTGGAAAGCCGAGTATTAAAGGGATTAGGAACTCGAAAGGTCGGGAAAGCGGGGATTGCTTCTACTGTCGAAGAATTACAGGGTTACTACCCGAATCGATTAGGATCATAAAATTGATTTGGTTGCGAAAAACGCGCAATTTGAGAAGCGCCAAATGTTTTCTGGGGGGAATCGACTTTTTGAGCGAGCGGCTTTACATGTCGTAATGCCCTCGATGTCAGTAAATTTATCAATATCAGTGATTGCCTGGGTAATTTGATAATCAAAACTCCAATTAGGACTAAAATTACCTGAGGGTCCTGAAACGAGGTTCTCAGATTGTAGAATTTGCTTCTTTCCTTAGAAATAGCACGTGCATGGCTTGCAGTCCTTTGGCGAGCTCCCTGTAGATGTGCGTCATCTCGTCCATGTTCATTCCTCCCCACCCGTCTATAGTGAGCAGATTATATTAATTTGGTTCTTTTAGCTAACATTCATAGTGAGATAGGTCCCTGCCCACCATATAATCCATTATCCGGTAGCACATATGAGCACTGTCCCTGAAAAGATGGATTAATATACTTACTAAGCTACAAGGTGTCCCAACCCCCCCTCGGCATTTGGCCGTCTTCTATCGCATCGGGATCAAATTTTTACCAGCGCTGGCGACCCATAAAAACTATGTGCAGCCAAATTTTCTAAGCAAAATATTGTAAAACCAAAAAGTTATCGCTAAAAAACTAATTTTTGGAAAACGCTGGTACTCGTTTTTGGGCCATGTTTTTGCAATTAGCATGCCAATTTTGAGTAATTTTCCGAAAAATGGTAATTTTCGGGTCGCTTTCGGCCAAATTTGATAATAAAAATTGATGAAAAGGCCCAATTTAAACGTAATTTTCGTAAATCAAAAAATTTCTACGGGGGAAAAGAGTGTCCTCTTCATTTTTGCTTAACCTTTCGAGGCCCAAATCCGTGAAAATCCTAGTGAACTCGGCAAAATAAACCTTAGTTTCGATATAAGTTTTTTGTTTTACATTATTTCGCTTAGAAAATTCGGCTGCACATAGCTTTTATGGGTCCCCATCGCTGGTAAAAATTTGATCCCGATGCGATAGAGGACGGCCAAATGCCGAGGGGTTTTTTTGGGACACCCTGTATATTACTTCTCCTATGTTAGGTAATTTACCATATTATTACTTACCGCTATGCCCGTCGAATCGTATGTTCTCGGGTTTCATGTCCAAGTGTACGACGTTTATTTTATGCATTACCTTCAACCCTTTGCAGATCTACTGAGCCCGGCCTTATCTATTGCGGGAATCATTCCGGGAACCTATTCCGGGAATAATTCCGGGAATCATTCCGGGAATCGGGAAAAACATTCCCGGAATCATTTTCATCTCTATTCCAGGAACCTATTCCGGGAACGGTTACCGCAATAGATTCCCGGAATTAGATGAAAACGATTCCGGGAATATTTTTACCGATTCCCGCAATGCATTCCCGGAATAGTTTTCATCTATTCCGGGAATCTCAGCACATTCCCGGAATTCACACACTTGAAAATTCCTCGAATTAAAAAATGTAGTTGTTAAAAGCAAAAAAAATCCAGTATTTGTATGAAGAGGTAGCCAATAGCATTCCTGCCGGTAAATAAAGTTTTCAATTTTTTTAACTTCGAGAATTCTCCGTAACTTCGCTGGGAACTACCCGATTAATTTGAAACTTGGTATATTAGCTAATGAAGCCCCTTTTAAGCTACTGTGAAAATTTCAGGAATTTTGGTGGTGTTTCACCTAGATTCCCGGAATGGTTACCCGACCGTTTGGTCGGGTAGGCCCAGCCTTAACAAAATTATTCCCGGAATTACATTCCGGGAATTTACCTAAAATTCCCGGAATGGATGAAAATCATTCCGGGAATTGATTCCCGGAATGGGTTACCGGAATAGCATTCCGGGAATCTATTCCGGGATTCCCGGAATAGATGAAAACGCATTCCGGGAATCGATTCCCGGAATCATTCCCGGAATTAATTCCGGGAGATTCAGGGAGGTTCCGGGAATGATAAGAGGCGTTCCCGGAATATTCCCGGAATAGATAAGGCCGGGCTCTGGTGTAAATATGCGAGTTCATCCATGCCTATGCCGCCGTATCCGTCTGTAGTGAATAGTTATATTAATGTAATTCTAATAGCTTACACTCGTAATTGCATAAATCCCTCGCGGCGAGGTAGACCATCGCTATTATGTATGAGTCAATCTTTTCGATGTAGCTCAATCCTTAAAAAATAATTTATCCGCTATCTTTAGCTAGAATCCGGGTGTATTAGCTTATGGTCGGAAAGGTAAGGGTCTAGTTTACCCGCCCGCTCCCCAACCCCAACTTTTCAGCCACATGACCTATTAATGCGCCGAGTATCTCAATATGTTTGCCATGACCGAATGTCTTCAGCCAAGCTGTTTTCTGATCCCAAAAGCCGCTAGGAAATTTTTTGCAAGATTTTAAAAGTTGAAAAGATTAAGTCGTTATGCCTCGATCTGCCACGGGTTTCAAACTCGAATATTTCGATTTTCCGTCAGTGTTTTCGACTCAAATGTAACCTAGCCGTACTTTACAGAGTAAGGGCTATATTTTGGTCACTTGCCAGCACTGTAAGCCTAAAGAAAGCCGAGATACAAATGTGCACTTTGGTCCAGCAAAAATTAACTCAAGGAAATCGAGACCTATAATTGTTATAAAATTTTTTTTGACGATTTTTGGCTTAAAGCGCACGTTCAGGGAGGGGCCGTATACTCTGTCCAACGTGTACACCCTATGGACGTAGCGACCGCAAGCACTGCCTGCCCGTGCCGTGGCAGGCAATTCCCCTCCTTTGCGGGGTGGGGCGCCCCTCGCCCCCTCGCCAGGTTGTAGCTGTGGCTGACTGATATACCACCGCGCCTCCCGAGCGGGGGGCCCGGGTTCGACCCCAGGCCGCGGCAAAAATCTTTGCTTTTTTTCCCAAAAAACGTCCCTGAACGTTTTGAAGGCGAAGGCGAACATTTTGGTGTTGCCGGAGCATTAATAGGACTGATGGCTGAAAAGTCGGGGCTGGGGAAGGGGTAAACTAGAATTTCGCTGTCGAAAATCACCTCCTCATATAGCCCCTTCATTTGTCGCTCCCGATGCAATGTGTCGTCGTCGAGCGCGACACGCTTCATGGCGAGCGCGTCGTTTCCAGTCTTGGTCCCTCCATTCGTAAACCTCGCCATGGCCCCCATGGTTGTCGGAATTGTCTGGAACAAGTAACAATTGTATAATTCTCCCGATAACCCCGCCCCCCCCTGCTAACGAACCAGAACTTAAATGTATAGATTGAAAAATTAGAAATTAAATAAACGATAAGCCTAACTAATAAATACTGTGTTCGGCTGACCGGCGTAACGTAGATATCACCTTCTGAGGACGGATCCCTCTGATAAACTAGTTCAATCCAAATGCATGCCATCGGAAAAGCAGCGTTTTTTTCGGAAGGCGCCTGTGGTTTGGAAGAATTTCCGCAAGCAAAGGCCGAACCTGAAACGGAATGGAATTGCCGAAAAGAGGGAGAAAGAGAGAGAGAGAGAGAGAGAGAGAGAGAGAGAGAGAGAGAGAGAGAGTAAAAGAGAATGTGAAAATGAGCAAGTGTTAGAGAGCGAGAGAATGAGAGGGAGAGAGAGTGAGAGAGAATGTGAAAATGAGAAAGTGAGAGAGAGTGTCGGAATGAGGGGGAAGAGAGAGTGACAGAGGGGTCCGAGAGAGTGTGAGAGCGAGAGCGCGAGAGAGACAGAGAGACAGAAAGAGAGAGCGAGAGAGAGAGAGAGAGAGAGAGAGAGAGAGAGAGAGAGCGAGAGAGTAAAAGAGAATGTGAACATGAGAAAGTGTTAGAGAGCGAGGGAATGAGAGGGAGAGAGAGCGAGAGAGAATTTGAAAATGAGAAAGTGAGAGAGAGTGTCGGAATGAGAGGGAAGAGAGAGTGACAGAGGGGTGCGAGAGAGTGTGAGAGCGAGAACGCGAGAGAGACAGAGAGATAGAAAGAGAGA